CTACACGGAGATGGAAACTTGTTCCTAGCAGAAGTAGCTTTGCTGTCCCGGTGAGGGGAAGGTGGGTGACTACATTTGTGTGTGTAAACCAACGCGGTTACTATGGAAGGTACTCTTCTCATGCGCACACACTGGGAATAAATAATGTCAAGATGCTGCTGTGTTTGTTTTATGCTTCCATTTCACACCATACACAAATATAGACTTCTGGTAGATTAAAGCTCTAAACAGGTAAGGAAACATAATTACAATTTTAGAAAATATCTAGGAGAATATTTGCATGCCACTGCAGTAAGGAAGAGTTTCTTCGACAAGGCACAGTAAGCACTAACTACAAAGAAAATATTGGATGAATTTGCATACAACAAAATTTAAAACTGAGTGACAAAAGACAACAACATTTACATAGGGAAAATACAAACTGCAGACTGGAAGAAGATATTTGCAATACCTAAAACCACCCTTGAGTATAAAAAATAACTATTTATAAAGGCTGGGGGAGGGGGAAGGCCTAGGAGCAAGTCTTCAGCTATAATTAGAACATTCTAAAAAAGTTAAATGGGGTTGCTGCAGAAGACATTATTTCCTTCCTTTTTATGGCTGAATAGTATTCCGTGGTGCTTATACACCACATTTTCTTATCCACTCGCTGGTTGATGGGCACTCAGGTTGGTTCCCTCTCTTTGCAATGGTTAATTGTGCTTACATGGACTTATTCTTGGTGTGTGCCTGTAGACCTTATTCAGATGTTTTCTGAATTTTATGTATGTTTAAATATTTCATAATTAATATCTTTAAAGATCACTATTTAATAACGTGCATACACACTGGCCTAGCAACTCCATGTCCCATTTCCTGCCCTAGGACACAAGAGCATTTATGGTTCTGCTAAAACGTCACCGTGAGAGCTGTCTCTCACCACGAAGGCTAGAACACCCCAGCCACTCCTTCCACGCCCAGGGTTTTCCCCACCTCTCTTATTGCTGATGCAGATGACAGCATTGGTATATTGATTTGTTGGTTTATTATGAGTTCCCCCTCCACAATCAAACATAAGCCTCCCAAGTAGCAGGGCCGGGTAGGTAGTGACTGTAGGTTGAGGGATGGCTGAAGGGTGGGCAGCCACAAGCTTAACGAATGCCTACTTACCCAAGAAAGAAGGCAGCAGGTCCACGTGCAGCCACACCCTGGGATCTTCAAGACAGGTGTGGATTGAAGCGAGTCACGACCAACACATAACAGGGATGTAAACAGGGCTCTGTGTTTCTGTGGATGCACAGAAAACGGCCGGGAAAAAGGAGGCTGCACCCCCAGTTGCTTTTAATCAGAAGGAACGGGGACTGTAAAACAGGAAGATTCAGCTTCATTGTCGTCTGAACATTTTTTTTTTTTTTTTGATGCGAAGTCTCCCTCCGTCCCCCAGGCTGGAGTGCAGTGGTGCGATCTCGGCTCATCACTGCAACCTCCGCCTCCCGGGTTCACGCGATTCTCCTGCCTCAGCCTCCCGCCGGGACCGGCATGGACACAAATATGCTAACATTGTGTCTGAAAACACTTCCTTGGATGTAAACTCTCACTGTTTCTCTCCTGATTATAAACCATGTCACAGCCCCCCAGCAGTTCTGAAGGCCCTGAGTCCAGGCGGGAACTCAGACTGAATCGCGACGTCATTCAGGCACTAAAAACACGCCCAGGTCCAGAGTGCTGCCCGCCTGAGGCTTCCCGTCTGTGAAGCAATTTTATTTAAATTCTATGCAAAATAGCACCCTTTGCCCTTCTTCCCAGCGTCCTGCTGGCTGGGAGGCTCACTGGAGGCGCAGCAGGGAGCAGCCTGGCTTTTCCTACGGGGTCATCAGAAGCCTCGCTGGGAGAATTTCCCAAGATATTTTGCTGTTTGCTCAAACACACATTTTATATTTTAAATCCAGGTATCTGAGAGGGAAATCTGTAGCGTCCGAAGCACGGGTCTGTGGTTTTCAGCGGAACACCCTGAAGGCCCTTCCCAAGATGGCCGGGGCTTCCGCTTGCTGCCCTCCTTCCCGTGGTGCTGAGCGCGGGCGGGGCGCGGCCGCGTCTCCCTGAGGGCGTGGGTTTGGGGGTCCCGCCGGCTGCGGTCCCGGGTGAGGGATGCGAGCGGCAGCTCTAGAGGGGAACCAGGGAGCCTGGCTCGGTGAGGGCGTGCTCGGAACACCCTCATCCCCGAACACGGTCTTGTGTGATACAACGTGGCACAAAACCGCGAGAAGAGGAGGACGCGGCCGGACTGCACCGAGCCCCGGCGCCGCTGTGGGGAGGGAGAGGCGGGCCGGGCTGAGCGGGGCCGCGGGGACGCGCGCTCCCGGGCTTCTCCGGAGTCGGCCGGGGCCAGGCCCAGGACTGAGGCCGGACCGCGCGTCCCACCCCTCACACCCCTGGAAACACCCTCAGGGTTAGTAACACAAGCTCTGGGCCCCCCCGAGCCGGGGTTGAGTTTCATGAACAGACGCTGGCTGCATCCTGGAGCCAGGAAAAGAGGCGCACAGGGGCCGGGGCCACGGAGGAGCAAGACCCCTGGGGAGAGGCCCAGGTCTAGGCCGGGGCCAGGGGAGCGTGGTGGAGGCCTCACAAATGGCAGAACACGGAAACAGGCGAAACAATTAAACGCAGTCCTTGTGGCAGTTTAAACCACCCAGGGGCAAACGCTGTGACCCTGCCCGGATTCAGAGTGGGGGTCTGTGTCTCCCCGCAGGCTGCAGGGACCCGGCTCTGGGGAACCAACAGAAGGTAACAGACAGAGGCTGCTTTTCCTCCAGGCTGTTCGGTGCCGACGCTTGTTCACTGACTCCTGACTTAGAGTCCCGCGTGGCCAGAGAACTCTGGGTGCTTCGGGGTCACCATGGTGAGAGGAGAGGCCGCCCCACCAACGGAAGAAGCGATGGAGACGGTCTTTACCACCTAAGAACAGAAAGAGTTTCTCATACGCAATCTGAAAAGTAAATATTTATTTATTTATTGAGATGGAATCCTGCTCTGTCGCCCAGGCTGGAGTGCAGTGGCATGATCTCGGCTCGTTGCAACCTCCGCCTCCCGGGTTCAAGCGATTCTCCTGCCTCAGTCTCCTGAGTAGCTGGGATTATAGGCGCCCGCCACCACCACCGGCTAATTTTGTATTTTTAATAGAGATGGGGTTTCACCGTGTTGACCAGGCTGGTCTTGAACCCCTGACCTCAGGTGATCCGCCTGCCTCGGTCTCCCAAAGTGCTGGGATTACAGGCGTGAACCACCATGCCGGACCAAAAATCAGTTTTAAAATGACCACATGAAAAGTAAACGTCCTGTATCACAGAGCATTTTTCTGAGGAAATGAAGATATTTGTGACACATATGAAAAACAAAAACGCATTTTGGAAACATACACAGCATTGCTATGAATCATTTAAAAAAATGATTTCATCTCCTCTACAGAAGCCTGAGTGAAGGACAAGGACAGATCATTATAAACCAGGGAGCTTGAAGAGCTAGTTAACAAGCACAGAAAATATGTTCCCCCACACTGTTAATCAAGAAAATTAAAACTGTAATGAGATGCCACATCGTATCCATGGGATTACTAAAAGTAGAAAGTTCCACAATACCCCTTGTTGACGGAGCAGGGGAGCAGCAGAAGCCTGCAGGAGATGAGACTGTAAACGTGCAAGGACATACTGGAGAAGAGTTGACAATATCTCACTCACGTGTATCAAGCCAAGTGCTGAAAGAAGAATTGGTTGTCATAAAGAAAACAGAAACCCAGCCTGGATGTAGCTTATCCCTCCAAGGGAAAGTTACAAAGAAGTTAAAATGAATGGACTGCATCTCCGTGTAACAATTTGGATCAATATCAAAGACACATTTGTTAAAGCAAGGTGTACAATGAAACGTGCAACATGAAACCATTTGTCTGTTATTGAAACACAGAAAACCTAACTCCACCTGGCTTATGACCACACGTGTTGGAATTTGAAAAAAGGAAAGGGAAGGAGGCCGGCTACACGTGCCCTTTTGGAAAATTTCAGCCTCTGAAGGTCTGGGGCACCAGGCAGAGACACGGCAGCCTTCAGGGATATGAGGCCAGTTCTTCAACTACATTTGCAAGGTTTTATTTCTTAGGAAAATATTTAAAGCTAATATTTCAAAAATGACTAAATCTGAGTGGTAGGGAGTCGCTGTTTTATAGATGATTCACTTTTTCCTGGGCCTGGAATGTTTCATTTTTTAAAAGGTCACATGAGATGCTGCCTTTCCAACAGATAAAGACTTAGCTGGTATCTCTGTCACTGCCCAGCAGTGCCTGAGGATGTGGGGGCAGCTGCCCAACACGGAGGCCGGGCTGGTCTGGTCCGCGAGCTCAGGTTCTCATCCTCTGCACATGCATCTGCCTCCTGTGTGTCTCTGTGCACACGCTTGTATCTGGATACAGAGTCCTGCACCCTGTGTAGATGCACAGATGTGTGCATCTGGGTAGGTGTGCTGGTTCACTGTGTGAGCATGCACAGACACTTGTTCACAGTGTGTGTGCATCCGTGCAGTGTGTACATCTGGACAGGACCCTGTGCTCCCTGTCTCTGTCGCTGAGATGTTTCCTAGCTGTGCACAGAATTCACTCTCCTACTGGAGTGCTCTGACTGAAAGCCCTGATGGGGCAGGCCTTCTCTTGACACTTGGTTAACGTATACCTCTTCCATCTGTGTGCCCACATCTGCTCTCCTCCCTCCCTCCTTCATAGCACTTACCCCTCTGATATGGTTTGCTGGTGTCCCCACCCAAATCTCATCTTGAATTGTAGTTCCCATAATCTCTATGTATTGTTCGAGGGATCCCGTGGGAGGTAATTGAATCATGGGGGTGGTTGCCCAGATGCTGTGGTTCTCGTGATAGTGAGTTCTCTTGAGATCTGATGGTTTTATAAGGGGCTTTCCCCCCTTTTTCTAGGCACTTCTCCTTGCTGCTGCCACATGAAGAAGGATGTGTTTGCTTCCCCTTCTGCCATGATTTTAAGTTTCCTGAGACCTTCCAGCCATGCTGAACTGTGAGTCAATCAAACCTTTTTCCTCTATAAATTACCCAGTCTCTGGTATGTGTTTATTAGCAGTGTGATAATGGACTAATACTTTCTCCTAATGTAGTATATATGTGTTTGCTCATTTGTCACTGCCTGTCCATCTCCACTCTCTAGAATACGAGATCTGTAAGAATAGGGACACTGTCTATACCAGGTGTTCATGGCTCAGTCCCAGTGCCTGGAACAGCATGAGGCACCTGGCATGTGCTTGGCAAACATTTGCAGGGAATATATGTGCATGAACCTGCATGTGCAGAAACAGGTGCATAGGAACATGGACTGTGGACGTGCATGTACGTGCGTGCATATGTATACCACTATGTGTACACAGCTTATTGTGTATTTGCAGTGAGGTTTTCAAACCTCTGTCTTGTTTCCAGGATTTCCTGAAGACACTATCACAGTCAAGTGGTCTGCCTGGTACTGAGCCATCAGACCAGCCAGCGTGTCCTCACCCACGTGGACAGGTGACAGGGGGTTCTGAGTATGCCTCAGTGCACCTTACGCGCCTGTGAAGGTTGGGAGCCTGAGTGCAGCTCCTGTGGCGCTGCCCACGGGCAGGGAGATGCCTCCTCAGTGCTCCTGACCCTCGGTGGAGGAGTGGCCAGCGTGTTTGCGGGCAGTGCATCCACACAGGTGTCCTGCACCCAAGGGGCAAGTCGGAAACGAAGGAAAATATCTGTCTGAAGGAAAAGGCAAAGCAATTTGGATTTCTGTGAGAAAATGAGACTGCATGTGGCACTGTAAATCCCCTTGCTGTTGAACTTCTCGCGCCCCCCAAATACACCCTTCATATTGACATGTCTAGAACCTTAAACTGAACCAAGTTGAAAAGTGAGATTAATTAGGGCTGAGTTAACAGTTAACACATACAATGAAATATTGAATGAGGCTCACTGAGCAAACAAGAATATACAGAAGTGGAGGAGACAAAGAGGATATTAAAAATGCAGAGAGTGATGAGGCAGATAGCTGCGACAAATAATGAAAACCAGTAAAGGAGATAAGGCAGATATTGGAGGAGCAAAGAGTCTCTGAAATAGATATTGGTATCAAAAGATGCTAAACACGCTTCTAAAGAGGCTTTCTAGCCGACACAGGGAGCTCACTGATGAATGAAGTAGAAACATTTTTAAATGGAATCAAACAGGGCAAAGTGGGAGAAGAAAAAGAAGCAGGTAAACCAGTAAATTAACTTTCCTTGCATGTGCTGTATACTATTTGTGAGCGAGCAGTGAACGCTATGGATCCCTGGAGGGGCTGGGGGCCGCGGTGGGAGGGTTTCGCTGCAAAGAAGCAGAGGTGGTGCCTTTGGACCTCTTCTCCTGAACCTGCAGGGAGAGACGCAGAATATTCAAAATGTGAAGATGCAATGATTCACATGAGTGTGCAGGTTTTCAGGGTGGTTGCTAAACCCAAAAAGACCGATAGCTTCGGGCAAAAGACTGCAGAAAGACCAGCTTTACATTTTTACTGAAGCAATGGGAAATTTACCCTGTAAGCCTTGAACAATTCCCAAAGGGACTCCTGTTCATTCCTGTGGATCCTAATGGGCCAGCATAGACCTGTTAGTCAAAAGAGGATTTACCTACATTGTGCACTCGTTCGGACTGGCAGGGAAGTCAACGCCACTTCCAGATGTTTGCAGGGCATGAACCCTGTCCGTTCCCACGCCCTCCGATGGCTGTTACACAGGGATGCCCACTTCTGGACAGAAGTGATTCATGCAAAATGAGAACCATGACCACAGAAGGTTTTGTGCATTTGGTTATTTCAATATTTAAGTGTATGCATGAATGCTCAGGGTAAAAATGCTTGGAGTTTAACTCAATTAAAAATGTATACATTATTCATCTTCTATGGACTGTCCACCATGTGACCCAGAGAGCTGAGGGGGTAGAAATACATTCATTCATTCACTGTCTCCTTAAATATTTACTGAGCACTTGTTGCATGTGGAATAACTCCTTGTTGTAGGTTCCTCATGGTGGCTCTGCAGGAAGGATGCAGAGTGTCCTGAGGGGCTACTGGGAAAGTCCACTTTGGGTTGAGGGATCTGGGAGGGCTCCCTGGAGGAGGAGGTCTTGGACTACAGCGATGGGAACATGGAGCTGGAGCGAGACGTGGGTGCCAGTCAGCACAAGAAAGACCTGCACAGAGAAAGTCAGGCTGGGGTGAGAGGGAGCCCCCCGAGCTGGGAGCTCAGCCTGAGAGCATGGGAAGCCACCGAGGAGCTGGGGAGCCAGGCTGAGTCTGACCCCACTGATGCAGATTCCTCTGTGGGCTTGGGGAAGGCCAGAGACAGGGCCGCAGGTGGGGGCTTTGGTGAAGGGAGCGAGAGTGTGAGCCAGTGCCATGTAGAGAGGACAGATGCAGGGATGCCAGCCAGGGTGCCATCGGCCAAGAAAGAAAGGTCCAGCAGGTGCAGTATCAGAGCAGGGTCCCAGAGGAAGGCAACAGGGACAGTTCTGGCTTCTTACCTCGGCCACTAGGAAGATGGTGATGCTCTGAGGGTGATGAGGCCACAGGGTGGGAGGGAGGAGGAGGAGCCTCCCCCTGCAAGCTCTGTTAGGGGGGCACACATCAGTGGCTCCCCACCACCCTCTGGACGAAGCCCAGAGCACAGAGCACTTGAGGCTACTGGGTGTCCCTGGTCCCTGCTCTGCCAAACAGCTCTCCTGTCACCAGCCTAATCTCCATGGCCGGGCATTCTGAATCCACGAATCCAGCTCCCAAGTGGTTCACAGGCTCCCAGCCCAGGCCATGTGTGTGTGCTGTCTCCCTGTGGGAGCAGGCTCCTGTCCTAGCTCCATGCACCTGCTCACAGCTTGGCCCTCAGCTTAAAGGCCCCTTCCAGGGTCAGGGTCCCAACTGGGAACCCCCATTCTGGGCTCTGCAAATGCCTCCCAGCACTTACTCCCCACAATGCTCTGTCCGAGGGTCTTGGCCTCTGGCTTGTGAGCTCACAGAGGGCCGCGCCCTTGCACTCACCATCCCGTTCACCTGCAGGGCCAGGCCTTGTGCCAGCATAGAGGTGAATGGGCACACGCTTCCCATCTGCTGGGGAGATTCTCGCTCTGCTGGCTCTGCCTCACCCCTGGGGGCTCTGCCAGCTCCTCAGAACCCTGAGTCCGGGGCACGACGTGGCCTCAGGTCTGGGCCAGATGACGTAGTGCAGGCTCTAGGCCCCGGGAGGGACGTGGCACTTCCTGCATCAGCTCTGTCGCTGGCCTCACTAGGGCTTCCCTCCCCAAGTCTCAGGGGCTGCAGGGTACCCCATCCTCTCCACAGAACACGTGCGTGGGCCTCCAGGAGATGGTTAGTAGAACAGAGAGGTTTTAGGGAAGTTTATATTTATAGCTCTTACATTTATTTATATTTATCAAATATGTACCCATCACTAAAATCTCTTCCGAGCATTTTCAAAAATTAAAGAGTTGCGTCTAAAAATACTGACCTTGATGTTCAGCGTGTGTGGGTAACTCCCCAGGCCCAGAGACATCAAGAGCAGATGTGACAGCAGCCATGGCTGCTCAGGGGCTGGGGATGCGGGAAAGGGGTGGCTCTCAAATAGTCTTGACAAGCAGCTGAATATGGTTGTGTCAGATTTGGAAAGTGCAGCCTGAGAATTTGAAATCCATTCATTCCCCACCCCCCAACCATTTTTTCATGTATTCATTCATTCGGCACACCCTGAATGAACACTCTTTTATTTGATACCTATCCAGGGGCACTGCACAGGCTCATGACCGTCATACGCCCAGTCTGGCCCCATGGTGTGCCTGAGCAGAGGACTGTTAGCAAGTGGGTCACTTCCATCCTCCATGGTAAACGCTGAGAAAAGAAAGATCAAAGGCTTCAGAGCCCATGGGAGGGATACAGACAGGGGCTGGGCAGCTGCTAAGAAAACTGCCTGGGCAACAGGGTGGCCGTGACCAGGAGGAGGGGGAGAAGGACCCAGAGGAGTGGAGGAATCCTTGCTGTGGAAGGCACCATATGAGCTGCGTGAAGTCAGAGTCAAAAGCAAACCCGTCTCCTCCTGACAGCGGGACCCAGGAGGCAGGACAACCTGCCAGAGAGGCTGAAGGAGGTTCTCTCGCGCTGGATCCTCGACAAGAAAAAGGAAGAGGGTCTCCCCTGCTTCCCTCGCCCACAACAGCTGGTCTTCCAGAGGTCAGCCGTCTCGTCCCTTGTCTTCAGAATCTGGTGGAGTTGGAGGCAGACACCTGAGGTTAGGAAGGGAAGGTGAGACCCGACCCAGGAAAGCTGAGTCCTCCTGAACCCTCAGGGCTGGGGTGAGGGGCCAGTGCCCGACCCAGACACCAACACAGCCCTGCAGTGAGAGGCAATCTCAGCAGATGGATGGGCACTTCCCGGATGATGAACTGGTCAGCACTACAGTGGCCCCCTTGGCCTAATTTGCCCACCTGAAGAGCTTCCAGGTCTCCAGTGACCCTAGTATCACGGCCAGGAGAGGAGCAGGGTGACCTGAGGGTGCAGAGAAGGTTCTGCTGTAATCAAGTTCCCCTGCCAGGTCAGAGGCTCAGAGGTTTGGGAGGGGAAGGATTTCCTGTTAAAGCAGCAGGATCCCTGTGGGCCCAGAGGGAAACACAGACTTGGCGGGCGTCCCATGGAGTGGGAGTGAACAGGAGCAGGAGGAAGGTGGGTGCAGCCCCCATACGGGCCTCAGGTCACACTGGATGTTTCCTCAGCAAGCGTCACCTGGGTGGTGACGAATGGCGGAGGAGAACAAGTGGAGTTCAGGGAGTAGCAGTGTGAAGCTGCACCGCCTGGTCCCCACTTGAGGTAAACAGGGTTTGCTCTGCCGAAGGAGCCCACGCTGGCTGCAGACACGGGGCAACCATGTGAGAAAGGTCGGACCCAGGCCCACTCGCCTTCCACATGCGTCTTAGGGACGGGGATGCCTGCGCCAGCAGCAGCCTTGCTGCCCCTTCGTCCCCCAGTGCACCTGCCAGGGGAAAGCCAACAGGCAGTGCCAAGGACCTGAAGGGGGAGGCGGGCTTGACTCTGAGGCAGGGCACGGACACCAGACCACGTGGAGGAGCAGCTGAAACAGGGCCAGTGGCAGCAGCCACCTGTGAGATGTGCCAACCAGTGAGCCTTGTTTAGTTTACTATTGCCATGGCAAGACCCAGAAGTTACTGCCACTTTCCATGGTAAAAACCCAATGACCCTGAGGTTTCTGCCCCTTTTCTAGAAACTTCTGCATAAACCAACCCTTAGTTAGCATGTAGTTAAAAGTGGACATAAATATGCTTCGGGGCTGCCTCTGAGCTGCTGTTCTGGGTGCACTGCCCACGGGGAGTCCTGCTCTTCCGGGAGCAGCCCCCTCGGCTACCGCAGCAATAAAAGCTGCTACAGCACCCACTCACCTTGGAATTCTTTCAGGGGCAAAACCAGTAACAGACCTGGGCTAAGCCCCCATTTTGGGGTCTGCCTGCCCCACATCAGACCTGCCCAGGGTTGCCCCACCACTCCTAAAGGAAGATAAGACGGGGAGGGGGCAGCCACCAGGCTGACTCTTCAGATTGCCCAGTGCCAGCTCCTTTGCATCCTGGAACCCGGAGAGGCAGGGCAAGCCCCAGCACCTGGGTGCTCACGGGAACCTGGGGGAGGCCCTCGAGAGGTGGCCACAGGCAGGTCTGGTGGCCACCGGGAACCTGGGGGAGGCCCCTGAGAGGTGGCCACAGGCAGGTCTGGTGGCCGCTGGGAACCTGGGGGAGGCCTCTGAGAGGTGGCCACAGGCAGACGCTTGGGTTTAGGCACCTCACCCCATTGCCTGGTCAGGCCCCAGCCCCTGCTCACCTGGAAAGCAACAGGAAGGGACGTCAGGCTTCAAGCGTGGAAGCCATGAGTGCGGGGACCTGGAGTGGGAAGCAGCTCCCAGACCTGGCCTGAGGCCCCTGGCATCTGCCTCAGAGGGGAGCAGCAGGAAGCCTCTCCTGGGACGCCACTGGCATTGCTTCTGGGCCCTGCGCTGTTGTCTGAGTCTGTGTGATTCTGCCGGATTCTGCCTTGCTCTGCGTTGGTCTCCCCGCTGCCTCAGCCCCGCTGGCCTCTGGAATCCAGCCCTCCGGCAGCCACCCTTCCGCCTGGCATCTTTCTTATCCTACCTTTGGTTTCCACCCAATGACTGTTCTTTCCCTCCTGGAAGTTACCACCAGGACACCTCCAAGCCCAGCCTCTCTCTGGACATCACATCATTCCTGCTGTGGTCTGAAGGTTTCTGTCCCCTCAAAATGTATTTGTCAAATTCTCGCCCCCAAGGTGATGGTATTAGGAGGTGGGGCCTCCGGGGGGTGATGAGGCCATGGGGCCGAGCCCTCCTAGAAAGGATTGGTGCCCTTAAGAAAGAGGCCCAGAGAGCTCCCTCGCCCCTTTCACTGCAGGAGGACACACATAGCACCAGCTTCTATGGGGCACTGGCCTCAGCCGATGCTGACTCTGCTGGCACCTCGACTTCCTGGCCTCCAGGACTGTGAGAAATGAATTTCCGTGGTTTATGTGGTATGAATTTCCGTGGTTTATGTGGTATGAATTTCCATGGTATTTTGTTACAGAGCCCGGGCCAACTAAAACAATTCCCGTGCTCGCTGGAGAATCAGAAGGTGCATTTGTGCCTTAAAAACACCTTCAGTGGCACCAGCTTCCCCCATACGGCACCAGTTCTCGTCACTCTCCGAGGCTGCCCTCACCTTCGCAGGCCGTGAATTGTTAAGAGAATTTAGCCACAAACCAGGCAAGAATCTTCCCTACGTGTCAGCAGCCCGAAGGCTTTGTAGATAATATTCTTCTTTAAAATTCAGCAATTATGTATCTAGTTGCTACCAACCACAGAGAAAAATATGCATATTAAAAAGTCCATAATTACATAATAAGCACTTACTGTCAATTGCATTCTGCTGCCGTGTACTCTCTGTCCCGTTTATCTTAAAAAAATTCAAAAACAATTACCACAAACACTAAAATAAATCAAGCACCAAGTGTCAGGTTAATGCAAAATTAGGGGTTTACTTTGAGCACATAGATAAGTTTTAATTCAGATGCCATCAGTCCTAACCACATGGGATCTGTGGCCCTGCCAGGATCACTGGAGAACTGGAAGCACCTTGGAAGGGCTGAATGGCAAAGGACTCAGGAGGACACCCGAGGAATCACCTGCTTGGATTGGAAGCTGCCAGAGTGTCAGGTGATTTGGGGAAGGTCGGCAGCCTCCCTGAGACTCCGTGTCTTCACAGGGAAGATGCAGTATTTACTTCACAGAGGTTGCTGTGGAAACTATATGCCCAGATTTCACCACAAAATCAAGCAAAATAAAAGAAATGGGGTGAAAAACGGTGCCTCGTCCCAGTTCTCTTATAGCTTCGTGGTCATATGACCCAGTCCTTGCCAGGGGGTGCCAGTGAAAGTGCCTGTGTGAATCCTGAGAAAGGCCCTTTCACAGGAACACGTTTGGCTGGCTCCTGCCTTTGCCCTTTCCTGTCCTCCGTGGAGAATGCGGATGCAATGCTGGAGGTGCGGCTGCCGTCTTGTGTCTTTGAGGCAGCCTAGGACTGGCTGAGCAGAAAGATTTGAGGAGGCCGTGTCCCTGATGGCACCCGGGAGCCAATGGGCCACCCTGGACTGCTTCCCCCTTGACCATTTTAGTAGTTGAGAAAAGCAACCTGACATTGTGCTTCTCTAATGGAAGGTCGGTACCCGGTGGGTGTGCAATGTCGAAGCTGTTCTTATTTCAAGGTAGGAATGATGTCATCTTGAGTCTTTCACATCCTAAGCCTGTAACCCAGGCGTGGGGAGAAAATCAAGTCTGGCTGCGCGTTCTGGGCTTCTCTCTGCTGAAGAGCCCTAAGGAGTCGCCCTGCTTCCACTGACGGTGGACAGAAGCCCCATTGCTGGCTCCAGAGAGATCTCCTCATTCTTAGCTGAGAGTGTACCCCTTCCTCCCTGACCAGACCTTCCGAGGAGCCCACTGGCTCTGAGGTGAGATTTGCATCTGGTTTTGAAGACACTGAGCATCAGCTCCTTTGCACGCCTTGCCTGCGTGCTTCACTGCACAGGTGGGCTGGCTGCCCATCCCTCCCATCCTCGCCAGGGCTGATCTGCCCTGAGTCGGGGGTAGTGTTCAGATGGCAGCTCTTTCTGTCTTCTGCATGTCCTCCCCTGGGTGTTCCTGCAGCATCATACTGCCTCTCAGAGCCCTGTTCAGGACACCAAGCGCCTCCCTGCAGCCCTCTGGGCAGCGGAATTGGGCCAGGGCTCAACTCTGGGTACTGGAAGCTTTCACCTGTCCACCTTTCCTTCCAGCATGCTACACCAGCATGACCGTCTTTCACGTCTGCCATAGCATAGGAACAGTGGAGGATCCCTGTTGGACTTGATCCAGGGAGCACCCTGGGGAAGGGACGTAGGAGCATAGAGGGCAGAACAACCTCCACCGGCCTTCAGCCTCTGCTCCTCCAGGTGCCCAGCAAGCAGCTTTAGGCAGCAGAGCACCTGCGAGGGCTTCTCCATCTGCCCCCAGGCCTCCCCAGACACCCACAACTTTCACTGTTGATTTGGACCTCAATCCAATGCCCTACTCAAAGGGCATCCCCCAGGACCCTTTCTACCACAGCACCTCATGCATCCTCTTCCGGGACTTGGCTCTATTTTTTTAACGACCATCGGTCACCCTGACTTGCGTTTATTAGCTCCATTTGTTCAATACCGCAGCCCACCACCAGAACAGAAGCCACCCAAGCAGGGATCTGGTCTGTCCCTGAGCTTGGAAGGTCACATGGCTCTCAGTTGTTTCCTGAAGAATGCTTGTAGAATAAGTGGAGAAATGAATGAACGTGTGAACAAATGAATGAGTGTATAAAAAGTACTTCATCCAACTTGCTGGTCTATCTCTACCGTCTTTCCCTGGCCCTTGCTCCCCAGCTGTCCTGGGTCTATAGCTCCCCTTTAGTTCCCTGTGCCTCTGTAGAATATTCCACTGCCCAGGGCTCCATTGTCTCCAGCCTGCCAAGGCATGTGTGAGGCTTTCCAGTGGCTCTGGGGCTGCTGGCTGTGTACCCACTCCCAGCACACTCTGTCTCTCTCTCCCTCTGCACCGGTTGACTTTAAGCTCCGAGTCCCTCACCGTGACCAGCACTTGGCCAGGATTCCTGTTGAATGGATTGATGAGTCAATGATCAACAGATGAAAAAAATACAATAGAATTTTAATAATGGCTTAAAATCCAAGAATGGAATGATTTTTTTAAAGAATCCCACAGCCAAGTTCTGTGTATGGGAATTGAAGCCAGGGCCAGAAAAATAACAAATAAACAAACAAATCTGTCTTTTGATTCCTCTGCCCTGGAGGCAGCTGGCTAAGTCCCTGGACCCTGCAGTCATCTGCTAATTTGTTTCCCTAAAGCTGCCAAGCACGGCCTGGCTGCAGTGACACGGCTGGGTCTGCTGTCACCTGGGTACCAGAGATGCAGGCTCCAGAAGTTCTTTCCCTCCCCAAAGCAAATGTGGCCCATGATGCTCGGACTGTGCCAGCACCAGGAGCAGAGGTTGCTTCCAGCCATGGACTTCGGCCTCTTGCTAGGGGAAGGACTGGCTCCTGGAATGCAGTGCCCGCCGGAAGAGAGTCTACACGGTTTTGCGCTGGAGTGGTTGTGGCAATGATGGGTTTGGGAGAGAAACCTTTTACCACCCTGTACAGCTCTTGCCCTCAACACACCAAGGGCAGCTATCTTCCAGCCTGAAGCCTTTTCAAAGATGCAGTGTGTGTGTGCGTGCGAGCACACACATACACCACTGCATAAAAATGAATCTTTATGGAATTCAGATCAAGAAGCTCTCCCAGACCACAACTGCCCTTTTGTCTGGTCTGCAGAGCTGACGGTTGCTATCCTGAGGAGGCCAGGACCTCAAGTGAAGATGATAAAGGAAGTGGGAGAGGAGGAGGAACTGGGTGTGAGAAAGAGGAGAGCGTGGGAGGGACAATGGAGTCCCAAACTGGACGGAGACCTGGAGAGCAGTGGGGAGCCCCCCATGGCCATCATCAATACAGAAATACAGAGAGCAACCAGCACCTCTGTAGGTGGGATGAACAGGTCTTAAATTCCACTGGGGCCTCCACTCGGAACCCCGGTTCTGCTGGCTGGATGAGCCAGATTACAGCATGGGGACTGGGCTCCCCCAGGGGCAGTGTGCAGAGGTGACATTTCCATTGCTGGCCTGGTGACCACACGGAGCCTCTGCAACATGGCGCTGGGCTGGGGAGTCCAGGTGGCTTCAGGGCTTGGGGGTGAGACCACACAACCCAGTTGTCTCATCTCCTTCCAAACTTAGTCTCAGATTTGGGGTCCTCCACGTCTTCACCTGGT